ATTAGGCTGATACAGTGTGATAACATAGATTAGAGGGTTCAAACCTTGGAAATCCAGCCCACGTGTTGCTGGATCATAGTAGCGGTAAGCCTTCACAGACAGCCCTGCAAGACCGAAGATTTTGGTATGATTTCCCCACGTGGGATTCGGGATGTAAATCACGAGCTGCCAAACAAGATTAGATGAACATATCACACATTGTATGATAACATAGATTAGACTGGCAAGATTTTATGTTACGAAATACCAGGTAAAGCATAATGAAAGAAACATAGCAGAAAGAGTCCTTACTTGGTGGTAATGCCTAGCAAGAAACTCAGCCCCAACCCTCAGAGAACCAGTACCAGACAAGCACTGGACAGTAGTCACTCTGTTCTCTTGTATGGCTGGACTGTTGCACATCAAGCAATAGAATCACAATAAGCCAATCAGCAGAAGTAAAGGTGGGGAAAACGGAGAAAATGTTATTGAATGATGCCGAATGCAAATAACATCAAAATATTTACCTATCAGCACCAAAAATGAGCTTGGCACTCAATTTGTTAAAATCGGCAAGTCCAACAATGGGAAGATATTCTTTGACCCGAGAGCTGGAAGAGATATACATATTTATATAGTAATGAATATCCAATGATTGAATGAGAATGAGAGTGGAAATGATTGAGATGGCTTACCTGTCATTCACTAACATCTGCTCTGCTCTTCTCACCACATTCAAAACCAGAGGCTTCCCTTCCTAATACATATAAATCAAACCCAACAAATCGCACATCATTATTACTTCACATTAGTATTAAGAATAAAAATGGTTAACAAGGAAGGAAAGTACCTCGGTTCGGTAAGCACCAACACCCAAATTCAACTTATGTGGGCTGCTATCCTTGTTATATGCAACTGTCACCTGTTTTTACAGCAAATTAAAATCAATTACTAGTATTCTTCATTCAATCCGCCGCAAATAAATTTACATCCGAGAAACTGGCTTCTCGTGTAAGACTTAAAATGGGGGGGGGGGGGGGGGGGGGGGGGGGAG